TTTTTATTTATGTTTTTACCTCTAATTCTTTTGTATTTTTAGGTCCAATTTCTTCAAGAAAGAAATGTTAATGTTGTTATCCGTGATGAGCGTGACCTTAATATCATCCGTGTTCGAGAGGTTGGCCCAAATTAATTATATAGATTTTTTTGTTTCAAAACACCGTATACACCATATATTCTTATTTATATATTTTTTAAAAACTTTCTACATATATTTTTTTTATTTTTTGTAGGCAAAGGAAAAGGAAATTGCCAAGGCATTGTTGAAGAAAAACGAAAAGACCATCGTTTCGGGCAAGGGAAAGGAAAATGCATGTTCAGTAGTATGGCTCTTCAACATTTCCATTTAAAGTTCTTTTTTTGAAATATTTATTTTGGACCATGAACCTCGATTATTTATTTATTTATTTTTAAATGTAAAATTGGCATGCTACTTGCACAGTGACATATACTGTTTTTATAGTAACCAATTTCATGTAAATTCATGAAATATTTTTTTTGAAACATGCTAAAATAGCATTTGTACAAAAGCATTATATTTGTTTTAAATTATTATTATTCTTTTTTGCCTTTTTGCTACTGACATGAACATCTACAAGAGAAGAAAAAAGAAATAGAACAAAAAAGGAATGAAGGGAGGGAAGGATACAAAATGAAAAAGGTTTCAATTTTTTTACAAAATATCAGAAGGAAAGGGAATTAAGATAAAGTAAATTAATAGAAATGAAAAATGAAGAGAAAAGTAGATGATAATATTCATATTTTAGGCATCTTATGAAATTAATCTTCATGTTTTAGGCACATAACAATAATGTTATATCGAAAGCTGCATTGGCTCAACGTGCACAGTGAGAACGTGAAAAAAATGATAAGGCAAGCTCTTCATATCAATTGGGACAACATTCGCGACGTGAACGAGAGATCGAGAGAATTGATTCCACCAAGCACAACTAATACTCCACTGGCTCAGAAAGGAGTAATGTTTACACATCTTACTTCGCCAAGCACATCTTTAGCTTTACAAAGGAATTGGTAAAATATTGTATTTAATTCTACAAATGCATATTCTTATTGTTAAGATTTTATTTTATAAATTTTATTTTGTACACAACAAATATTTGTAGGCCTACTCATGCAAGCCCATTCCTCCATGAGACTAGGAATATCAGTGTTGTTATTCGCGATGAGTGCAATCTTAATATTATCCGCAATTCTAAGGTAAGTAGAAAAATCAAGTTCAACATATTCTTTTTTCGTAATCTTAATAAATTCTATAAATACATGTTCTTTTTTCGTATTCTAATTAATTTTTTTTTTTATTTTTGGTAGGCAAAGGAAAAGAAAAGGCAACTTCTTTTGACAAAGGAAAGGAAAACGCATGTCTAATGGTATATATTCAACATTTTAAAAAAAAAAATATTTATCGAGTAAAACAAAGCCAATCACATTGTTAAAGTGAACATTGATCATGTATGTTTTTAAAATTTTAAACTGTGTTGTCAATTTTTTTTTGTGCTCTTTGTTTTCTGTACACTCAAACAAAGTATATTTAGCTCTCTTTAACATTTCCTAAAAAATAATTGTAACCTTTATAAACTCCAAGAAAAACTTGATAACATCTAAGTAAAGGAACAGAGAAACATAGGCATAGAAAATATTTTTAATTTTCTTAACATTATCATGAGGCAAGAAGAAAGAGAAAACAATAACTAAAAAACAAATTGTTATATCACAAGGCATGAAGAGGGAAAATGAAGCAAAATGGAAAAGGAAGTAGGACAAAGAAAATGTAAAAATATTCTTAAAATTATTACAAGGCAGGAAGAAAAAGTAAAATATAATTAAAATAACAAAATTATTGAATCAAAAAATAAAATAGTATATGCTAATATTTGTATTTTAGGTATCAATGATATAATGTTTACATTTTAGGCACACAATAACAACGTTATATCAAAAGCTACATTGGCCCAACGTGCACGGCGAGAACGAGAGAAATCAAGAGAATGTATTCAACCGAGACAAACTTCTTTAATATCGTGTCGTCGTAGTCGTACTTGCTTGGAATTGGGAACAAAGGCAACTGAGGATACCCAGTCTACGCAAAAACGAGCAATGGTTGCACATCCTTTCACATGTTCGTTCTCAATGCCAAGCACATCTTTAGCTCCACAAACGAATTGGTAAAAGACCGTGTTTAATTCTTCAAATACATACTCCTACTATTACCATTCTATTTTAATTTACACAGAACCAATATTTGTAGGCCTGCTCTTACAACTCCTTCCCTTCAAGAGGATCTATGTACTAATGAGGAATTAGAGGATATGCATATGAGTCCAATGGTTAGTACTCGAGCACATATAAATTCATGTCGTCATTATCTTGACAAGATGGATGTATTATGTCCTTTCTGTTCAGCATTACATTGGATAGATGAAAAATTGGTAAAATCATCTCCAAACCGTTCTCTATTCGGAACATGTTGTTCAAAAGGGAAGGTTAAGCTTCCTCCGCTTATTACACCCCCTTCACTTCTTCAAGCATTATATGATGGGAATGATGATAAATCAAAATCATTTCGACGTTATACTCGAGTGTACAATGCAACAAATGCTTTTACGAATCTTGGTGCTACATTAGATCCAAGAGTACTTACTGGAAGAGGCCCTACATCATTCACTATCCATGTGGAATTGCGACATCGAACAAGATCACTACTACCACAATCAGGGCAAGATGCAGCTTATGCACAATTGTATATTTATGACCTTGATTCAGCTTTAGAAGTTCACAATCGTAGAAATCCTCAATTAAGAAGAGATGTTCTAAAAACTATTCAAGATAGTTTATTACAGGTTAATGCATTCGTTGCTAAATTTCGCCAGGCACATGCAGTTTTAAATTAATTAGCCTTGACAGGACGAAATTTGCCTGCTCATCTCCACTATAGTTCATCGACAGATCGACGACGGTATAACCTACCAACTACATATGAGATTGTAGTTGTAATACCAGGTGATGGTACCAAGGTTAGCGGAATGAGAGATGTTATCTTACATCTACAAGGAAATAATAAGCTAATGTAAATCAATGAATGTCACCCAGCATATTTGCCATTACATTATGTTTTATTATTTCCACATGGTGAGCTTGGATGGGAACCTGAGATGAACCTGTGGGATGTTCAACATGATCGGCCTTCAACTGATCGGCTTACTCAAATGGATTTTTATAGTTATCGTTTGTTTGAACGACCCACAGAGTATTCAACAATTTTGAGAGCTGAAAAATTGTTCCAAGAGTTTTTGGTTGATGCTTGGGCCGTAACTAAACAAAATAGGTTGACTTACTACAAGCTTAATTAAGGGAAAATCCGTGCTGAACTTTACCAAGATTTGACAGATATTGATCCAAATTACCTTCAGTCCAATCAAATTGGTCAAAGATTTGTTTTGCCATCTTCATTTCCTGGAGGTCCTAGACACATGTTTGAAATCTTTGAAGACTCAATGGCTATCACACGATACAACCAACATCCAGACATTTTTCTCACCATGACAGCAAATCCTAATTGGCCAGAAATTACTTCAGCATTATTACTGCACCAAAAGCCTATTGATCGTCCTGATTTAATTGCTCATGTTTTTGAGTTAAAGAGAAAGTGCTTGATGAAGGAGATAGAAACAAACCGAGTGTTTGGTAATAAAGTTGTGCATGTTTTTACAATTGAATTCCAAAAACGAGGCCTTCCTCATATGCATGCACTTCTATTTCCTAAGGGTCCTGACAAAATTCGGATATGTGCTCAAGTAGACAAATTGGTTTGTGCAGAATTTCTAGATCCAAAAGATGAACCTATGCTTTTTGAAACTATCAAGTGTTGTATGGTACATGGACCATGTGGTGCTCGAAATCCACAAGCACCATGTATGGAAAATGGTAAATGCACTAAGAGATACCCTCGAGCATTCGCAGAAACAACTACTATGGATCAAGATGGATATCCTATCTATCGTCGTCGTAATAATGGTCAAGTTCATATTGTGAGGAGGAAAGAAGTTGATAATAGAGACATTGTACCATACAATGCATATCTTTCTAAATGTTTCAACTGTCACATAAACGTGGAAGTTTGTGCCGAAATGAGATGTGTCAAGTATATACACAAGTACATTTACAGGGGTTATGATCGTACAATGATGGTGTTGGGATTGATAAATAAGATCCAGCAATATCTCGATGCGAGGTATATTGGACCTCCAGAAGCTGCTTGGCGAATATTTGGTCATCCATTGCTTGCTGAGATACCAACAGTTGTACGCTTAGCACTTCATTTACCTGGAATGCACCGCGTTCTTTTTAATCCTGATGAATCATTAGAAGCAATTGTTTCTAGAGCTGGCCAACAAATGTCAACTCTTACTGGTTTTTTTTGCACGTTGCGCTTCTATGGAAGATGAATGTCCATTCACTTACCAAGAATTTCTACAACATTTTGTTTGGCTTAATTCAGAAAAGATATGGAAACCAAGGTAGCAGGGCTATGCAATCGGTAGAATGTACTTTGCTAGCCCTAATTGTGGTGAGAGATTTTATTTGTGTTTGCTATTAACTGTTGTCAAAGGACCAAAATCGTTTCAATGCTTACGTACGGTCAACAATGTTTTGCGTGATACGTTTAAATCAACATGTGTTGCAAGAGGACTTTTAGAAGATGATGAAGAATGGATACAATGCCTTAAAGAGGCTGCAGTTATGAAAACTGGTTATCAATTAAGGAGATTGTTTACTATTATTCTTACTCAATGCTCTCCACTGCAACCATATGCGTTATGGAATCAATTTTCAATGCATATATGTGATGATCTTGCACATAAGATTCGAACATTGTTTGCCATTTCTGAACCAACTGAGGCTCAAATTGAAGACTATGGTCTATATCTTTTGAATCAAATGCTCCAAGAATCAGGAAAAAGTTTAATTGACTTCCCGCTAATGCCACAACCTTCTACAAATTGGAGTGCAGTAGTTGGTAACAGGTTGATATTTGAACATCAACAACTGCAGAATGAGGCACAACAGGCAGATGCAGAAATTATTATTGATCGCCTCAACAATGATCAACGAATAGCTTATGATGCAATCACTTCGTCAGTCTTTGAAAATAAGGGAACTATTTTCTTTTTGAATAGAGGTGCCGGAACATGGAAAACGTTTTTGTACAATGCGATTGCATTGAAGTGTCGCAGCGTTGGCCAAATTATTATTACTGTGGCTTCATCTGGAATTGCATCATTGTTATTGGTAGGAGGTTGTACTGCTCATTCAACATTTTCCATTCCGTTTGATGTATTGGAAAATTCAATTTGTGGATTTAGTAAGCAATCATTACAAGCAGAATTGTTTAGAGAAACAAAACTTATAATCTGGGATGAAGTTCCTATGCAGCATAGACATTGTGTTGAGGCAGTTGATTGCACACTTCGGGACACTTGTGATAGTGAAAAGCCATTTGGGGGTATCACTGTTGTTCTTGGTAGAGATTTTCGACAAATCTTACCAGTTATAACCAAAGGAGTCCGTGAGCAAATTGTGAATGCATCATTAAGACACTCTTTTCTATGGAAGGATATACATGTTCTGTCTTTAAATTTGAACATGCGCTTGAATCATGCAAATCTTGGAAATGTTAATTTTGCAAAATTCTCGATGTAATTGAATATAAAAATGTTGGGTTAAAATGTAATTTATTTAATTTGTTGGGAAAAAAAAATTGAGGTGAAAATATAAATAGATGATCTGTATGGTTGTGGATTTTCAAAAGAATTTTATAATTAGATTTTTGAAAAGAGTTTGTCAAACTCAAAATTTTGTTTGGTTGTATATGTTAAAAATTAAAAATAATTTTTACAAATTTAAAGTTCAAAACTTACTTGATTTTAGAGTTTCTAAAAATAGTTTGTAAAATTTTAATTTGTATTTTATTATTTTTAGTGAAATTTTTAATATTTTAATCAATATTTTTCACTTTTTAGATCCACTCAATTTAAATATTTTGCATTATAAAATTTAGAGAGATGGAGAAATTAAAAATAGTGATGACACAATTATTACCTTGGCTAAGAAAATGTAAAAATAGTGATGACACAAATGCAAACAAAGATCATATCACCAAATATTTACTATTATAGTATTTTCGTTTATGGAACCCACTTGCAATTTGTAATAGAAAATAAGCATTTTATTATCCTGGCCAATAACAGTACCCAAATAAATTTCTATATCCACATTTTTTTAGATAGTGAGTTTCGGTTGAAATAAAGAAGCGAGATCTCATAGCTATAGTTTTGCATCAATTTTAATGTAATGGTTAAAATCTACCAATTTTTATGGTTTGGTGGTCAGTTTATTATGCAAAAAATTAAATAAATGAAAAATAAATAAATTGTATGCTACTTGGTGAATAAATCAATTTAAACATAAAATTTTCAAATTTATAGGTAAACGAAATAGTGAAAAGTAAACACATAAATGCTACGTAAAATTCAAGCACAATAAAAGTATAAGATTTTAAACAAACAACAAAATGTAAGTCCCACAACACAGAAATATCTATATAAAAATCAGACAAAATACGCCAGCCAATGCTCTGCAATAGAAAAAAATAAACAACAAATTAAGCACACCAGCTAATGCTCTGAAACACAAAAAATATGCCAAATAACAAATTAATCACAAAAGCCAATGTTCTGTAATACAAAGAAATGCAACACCCTTCCTGATAAAAAGATAACCAAATAAAAATATGATTAGTTTTGTTTAACCTAATTCAAGAGCATATTAGGAAGAAAAAACAAAAAAACAAAAAATTGTTCTAAGAGTTTTTGGTAGATGCTTAGGTTGTAACTGAACAAAATAGGTTGACTTACTACAAGCTTAATCAAGGGAAGATCCGTGCTGAACTTTACCAAGATTTGACAGATATTGATCCAAATGACCTTTAGCCCAATCAAATTGGTCAAAGATTTGTTTTGCCATCTTCATTTCCTAGAGGTCCTAGACACATGTTTGAAATCTTTGAAGACTCAATGGCTATCACACGATACAACCAACATCCAGACATTTTTCTCACCATGACTGCAAATCCTAATTGGCCAGAAATTACTTCAGCATTATTACCGCACCAAAAGCCTATTGATCGTACTGATTTAATTGCTCATGTTTTTGAGTTAAAGAGAAAGAGCTTGATGAAGGAGATAGAAACAAACCGAGTGTTTGGTAATAAAGTTGCGCATGTTTTTACAATTGAGTTCCAAAAACGAGGCCTTCCTCATATGCATGCACTTCTATTTCTTAAGGGTCCTGACAAAATTCGGATATGTGCTCAAGTAGACAAATTGGTTTGTGCAGAATTTCCAGATCCAAAAGATGAACCTATGCTTTCTGAAACTATCAAGTGTTGTATGGTACATGGACCATGTGGTGCTTGAAATCCACAAGGACCATGTATGGAAAATGGTAAATGCACTAAGAGATACCCTCAAGCGTTCGCAGAAACAACTACTATGGATCAAGATGGATATCCTATTTATCGTCGTCGCAATAATGGTCAAGTTCATATTGTGAGGGGGAAAGAAGTTGATAATAGAGACATTGTACCATACAATGCATATCTTTCTAAATGTTTCAACTGTCACATAAACGTGGAAGTTTGTGCCGAAATGAGATGTGTCAAGTATATACACAAGTACATTTACAGGGGTTATGATTGTACAATGATGGTGTTGGGATTGATAAATGAGATCCAACAATATCTCGATGCGAGGTATATTGGACCTCCAGAAGCTGCTTGGCGAATATTTGGTCATCCATTGCATGCTGAGATACCAACAGTTGTACGCTTAGCACTTCATTTACCTGGAATGCACCGCGTTCTTTTTAATCCTGATGAATCATTAGAAGCAATTGTTTCTAGAGCTGGCCAACAAATGTCAACTCTTACTGGTTTTTTTTTGCATGTTGCGCTTCTATGGAAGATGAACGTCCATTCACTTACCAAGAATTTCCACAACATTTTGTTTGGCTTAATTCAGAAAAGATATGGAAACCAAGGCAGCAGGGCTATGCAATCAGTAGAATGTACTTTGCTAGCCCTAATTGTGGTGAGAGATTTTATTTGCGTTTGCTATTAACTGTTGTCAAAGGACCAAAATCGTTTCAGTGCTTACGTATGGTCAACAATGTTTTGCATGATACGTTTAAATCAGCATGCGTTGCAAGAGGACTTTTAGAAGATAATGAAGAATGGATACAATGCCTTAAAGAGGCTGCAGTTATGAAAATTGGTTATCAATTAAGGAGATTGTTTACTATTATTCTTACTCAGTGCTCTCCACTGCAACCATATGCGTTATGGAATCAATTTTCAATGCATTTATGTGATGATCTTGCACATAAGATTCGAACATTGTTTGCCATTTCTGAACCAACTGAGGCTCAAATTGAAGACTATGGTCTATATCTTTTGAATCAAATGCTCCAAGAATCAGGAAAAAGTTTAATTGACTTCCCGCTAATGCCACAACCTTCTACAAATTGAAGTGCAATAGTTGGTAACAGGTTGATATTTGAACATCAACAACTGCAGAATGAGGCACAACAGGCAGATGCAGAAATTATTATTGATTGCCTCAACAATGATCAACGAATAGCTTATGATGCAATCACTTCTTCAGTCTTTGAAAATAAGGGAACTATTTTCTTTTTGAATGGAGGTGCCGGAACAGGGAAAACGTTTTTGTACAATGCGATTGCATTGAAGTGTTGCAGCGTTGGCCAAATTATTATTACTGTGGCTTCATCTGGAATTGCATCATTGTTATTGGTAGGAGGTCGTACTGCTCATTCAACATTTTCCATTCCGTTTGATGTATTGGAAAATTCAATTTGTGGATTTAGCAAGCAATCATTACAAGCAGAATTGTTTAGAGAAACAAAACTTATAATCTGGGATGAAGTTCCTATGCAGCATAGACATTGTGTTGCGGCAGTTGATTGCACACTTCGGGACACTTGTGATAGTGAAAAGCCATTTGAGGGTATCACTGTTGTTCTTGGTAGAGATTTTCGACAAATCTTACCAGTTATAACCAAAGGAGTCCGTAAGCAAATTGTGAATGCATCATTAAGACACTCTTTTCTATGGAAGGATATACATGTTCTGTCTTTAAATGGAAAATAAATAATCATTAAATGTGGGTGAGAGTGCTGTCATGATGGAGTAAAGTTTTTGGAAACATTTTAAGCGTTTATTTGTGCATCTTTGGTTCAGTATGCTGCTGGGCAAAAACTTTACTCAAAATTGGTAAACTACACTGACCACCGGAAGTATAAAAAAATGTGCTAAATGAATCAAAACAAAAATGATTCTGCAATAGCCAAACCAAAAAAAAAAAAAAAGTCAGAGAGAAAGAAAATCCAAAAAAACAGAGATGAAGGTACTAACCAGATCGAGTAACAGCAATCTGGAAGTCAAAAAAGGAAGATCAAAACACAATCAGAAATCAAACAAAAAATTGAAAAAAAAAAAACAAAATATGACCATTGATAGTTAAAGAGAGCATCAACCCATTTGAGTTAGATGAAATAAAAATGATTCTTAACATGAGAGAGAGAGGGAGAGAGAGAGAGAGAGAGAGAGAGAGAGAAGTGGGTGTCAATCCAATTGAGCCATTGGGTGGGATGACGATGAAAAAAAACAAAAAAAACGGAGCTATAAAAAACGGAGGTAAAAAAAATGAATGAATGCAAAAAGAAAGTGGAGTGCCTTACCTGGATCCATTGTTCTTCCTTTCAATTGAGCTTTGAGCTTTGTTCTTCCTCAAAGCTTTGTTCTTCCTCATAGCTTTGTTCATACATACATACATACATATGATGTAAACTGCAGTGGTTTGGTAAGACTTGATAGGCAAACAAATCTGAACCATTGAACCATTAAATCTGGACCATTGAATCTCTTTTGAATCTCAGCCATTCTTTTTAAATTAGATAAATCTGAACCATTGAAGATAGTTTGTGAGAGAGATATTTTTTAAAATAAATCTAAGCCATCGCTTTTCAATTAGATAGATCTGGACCATCAATTTCAAAGACATTTTCAAATTAACCCTTCCATTGTCATATAGATATATTTACCGATACACACATAAGTCCAAGTCCATATCCAAACATCTATGTAAGCACTTAAGTCCAAAACACGTCTAAGTACAAAATGAAAGACATGTTGGGGACTTAAATCTCAAAGCCAAAACAAATTATGAAATATTCACTTGACTCCATATAGCATTCATTCAAAAATGGTGGATTTTGATCACCCGTAACAAACCTTGACAATAACGGTTCGAAACCTCGTGGTAAGGCACAATAGGTTAGCTTGACAAAACAGAATCAGGTTGACACCGCTAACTTTGCTTTGGTGCCTGACAACCTACATATATATAATAAACTATGAGCTAAAGCCCAATGAATAACAAATGTGTAAAGGGGTTAAGAATGAATGTCCTTTCTGTAATTAAAACAGTCAATTGCATCAGTAGATCATTTATTCAATCAATGTCTCATATTTCATGTCATATCAGTCATTTAGAAATCATAGCAGTTATACGTGGTACATCCAATAGCAAAATAGTACAGTAGGTCTTAAAAGACTGAACAATCAATTGATACCCATCAAACAGTAAACAGTAATTCCAAAACTTGGAATTGACAGAGATCTCTATAACAGTAGCAGTAACAATCAGTTGCTATGGATGCCACGAGTATAGTACATAAAATAGGCTAAATATTCATTCAGTAAACAATATCATTTCAGAAAGTAGTACAGTTAATCATTCAGAAAATAAGTATAATTGAACATAGCTTTACAACATTGTTACTCACAGTGGGCTCCTTGAAACACGTGGTAAAATGCACTAAGGATATGGCGTCCGGTCTAAACAAACAATTCAAGCACAACAACTTAAAACATAAATCGTTCATTCAATTGGTTCTATTCAGTTCATTATTTATTTATTCAGTTTCTATTCGATGTTCACCTTTTTTGGTTTCAATCCGTTGCTTATCTGTTTGGTTAAACTTTTGTTCTTTAATTCATTCGTGTTCATGAGATGCGAATGCACATAAAAACACTTTAAGACCATTTAAATGGAGGCCCAAACAGTAGAAAAATGGAACGAAAAACAAATCGGGACTGCACTGTTGGCCATACGTGCAGTGGCCTTAGCCGCATGAGCGGTGGTCAAGCAGTGTGCATCTTAGAGCATATGAAGGTTGGACGCTCGAGCGGTCTGGGTTGACTATTTGGCCTAAAACTACTCTGTTTGAAACCTCAATCCTTGAGTATTCTAACTTCAACACCATGAATTTCTAGGCCAAAAGCTCATACCTTCATCGAGGATTAACACTTTTACCTTAAACAAAATCCATGACCACAAATCAAACCCCAAAATTGACATAAAGAAAGTAAACTTCCCATTGATTATGTAATTGTATAGAACATGTAAGTATGAGCTCTAAACTTCAAAATTCATGGAGTTTCTTTCTCATTTGAAGAACCATACAAGAATTTAAGTGTGTGACAACAATTTCCATGAAAATCATGTCATGCATGTTAAGCTTTAAGAATCAACACATCCAATCTTTCAATTATGTGATCATATATTGTCAACTCCAATTTCACTTCAAATATTGAAATGTATAATCATAAAGCTTGCAAATTTTGAGCCCAACTCATAATTCCCATGAAGTTTCTCTTCAATTTGAAAATATATGCAAGCAATTGAATGTATGATCATGATTGTTCAAGAATTATGCCATGAATGTATTAATTTTCCATTTATTTCTACAAATCTTACAATCAAGTTTATATTCTTCTTAAATTATCTTGAATTCCATAAATATGCATATGATTCTTCAAATTGATGAGATACAAGAGAAGAACTCTTAC